GGCAGCCATGGGCTGGATGGGGGGGGGGTTGGACTGCACCATATACCTACACCTGTACCTACTCTGCCCAGGCGAGCTCTGCTGCACATGCCCATTGCTTGTCCCACACCCCCCTTGGCTGGCTCCTGGGACCTAGCATGCAGGCAACTCCCCATATGCTCTTGTACACCCCCCACATGTGCACTCATGTACCACATGCCTACCCCAACACACAACCACATGCACACCCTACACACACTCCCCTCCCCAAACCCCCCTGTTCCCCCCCCAATACACCCCCTCCTCCCCAAGTTTACAAGAGTAAGAATTTATTCTGAGCTATACACTACTTAAAAGAATCAGGACAAAAATTATTTTTTGAAATAAAATTAAAGTACATTATAGTAGATATTTGCTTTTCAGCATATGATTTGTTTTTTTAATCTAGAATTTGTTAAAATTATATCTTGTGAAAGATTGTGTGTACTGCCCTCAACAGCTCACCAAAACTTGTTAAGTGGCTCTCCAGCTGAAATAATTGTCCACCCCGGTTTAGATTCTGCCTCCTAATTTTCTTTTCTTCAATGCCTCTGTGCTCTCAGGGCATGGGGAGGGGAGGCTGTTGCCTCAAACTAACCCTGGTTGAAACAGCTTCCCTTTCCCATGCTTAAAGTTGGAGCAGTTTTTTGCTACATTTGTATTGCTTCCGACTTGGGCATGTGTAATTGGTAATAGCTGCTGTGTGCTCCTGAGCAGGAACTCTCTCTCTCTGAAACTGCTCCAAGTGTACATTTGTCTAGTGTACTCAGATTTCACGTATTATTTTTGATAAATCTTAAATAAGACATCTTTAATGAATATAGATAGCTATTTCAGCTGCAAATGAGGACTTTGCTGACTTGCATCAGTGACATTCGCCATGCTAGAGAAGCCCAGATCTCTTACTCACAGCTAGCACTGGAACACCTATATCATCAGAGGTGAAGACTGTTGCTTTGGGTATATGTTTGCTTACTTGCTCTTCCCCCCCCTCCCCAATCACTCTTACGTTGTCTTGTACCCTGCATTCTAAGATTAAGTAAATTGTTTGAAAGTAGTGATATAAATATGAAAAATGTATAGGATTTGAGTCGGGGAGGCTTGTTTTCTGTTCCTAGCTCTTGCAGATGTCAGATCACTCAGTTGCTCTTGCTTAGTTTTCAGAGCTGAAAAATGTGACTAAGACATTTATTCCTGATGATAAACAACATTTAATTAGCAATTGTGGGGCAATTTGTGAATCTGAGTTTGAAAAATCTAAATAAAGGAGGATTGTATTATATATTTTTCACTATTAATTAGCATCTCTTATTTTCATTTCCTGTCTTCTGTATCTTGATTATTTTTTGGTGAGATTTCAACAGAGTTGCTATTCAAATTAAACGTCATTTTTTCAGTTAAATTCCTTGCTCTTTATTAAACATGTAATTTGTTTTCTTGACCAGCCAAACTTCTTGTACATAGACTATTCCCTGTTGTTGCGATTTATTACATTTTTCTGGACAGAATAAAATAATGGACTTAAGTTGCAACACCAGAGACGTAGTTTAAATATTAGTAAAATCTTTCTAGCTGTAAGAGTAGAGTTTGAGGAACCGATTGCCCAAAGAGTTTATGAAATATCCATAATTAGAAGTTTTTAAGTACAGGTTAGACACATTTGTTTAGGACAGGCATGATCCTGTTTTGAGAAGTGAGTTGGATTAGATCAGGGCTGTTGAACTCAGACTGCAAAGGGTTAATTTGCAAACCTCATGCTCCTGACTTGACACCGTTCTCCACACTGCTTCAGAGGCTGCTGTCCCCAGGGTGTCCCCCTCCCTCCTTCAACTTCTTGTTCCTACCTCTGGGGGTGGGGCAATGTGGCCACAAGTCCCAGTGCCCCCACACAGTGATGGCAGGGAAGGCACCTGCATAGAGTGGTACAAAGGGAGGAGGGCAGTGGGGGCCCATTGGCAGTGTGACTTAACAGGGGAGGGATATTAGCAGTGTGGCAGGGGACCCCTGACATGTGCGACCCCCAGCACTCCAAGGTGGGACAGCTGGACTAAGTACAGACGGTCAAAAAGCCCAAAGCTGAATTGATTCAATCTTTGCAGGTTAGTCTAAACTGCATAGATTAAACCGATAAGCAAGTGAACAGACATTTATTTTGATTGCAGAAATGCACCCACCTGCTGTGATGCCATGGCTCAGGCTAGAAGGTGGTGGGTAGTAGAGCACACCTCCCTGCTTGCCTGGAGTAGACAGCTTGATCCAAACCTAGCCTGCTCACCCTTCAAGGGCAGGGGAAGGGGAGGTTGCTAGGGAGGTGCAAAGCATCCTGGAATGCTGGGGGTTTGTGAGTTAACTTAAATCTGCAGGGGATCTGGGACAGAAGTTCAATAAACTGATTTAACCTAAATCAGTTAAGTCTTACATCCATCCAGGTTTATTCTAAGCCTGTTTCAGCCATTTTGAAAGTGTTTTATGTGCCCAGGACTTCTGTTGTGTTACATATCTGAACCAGTTTCTGATCACTTATATTGGTTTATATGTAACTTCTGTTTCTAGCCCTCTAGGCTAGGTGATCTCTTGAGTTTCCTTCTAGCCTTATTTTTCTATGACTCCGTGAACTATAAAAATATGCTGCTTATATTATTGCATTATGTTTGCAAGCAGAGAAGAAGTAAGCATGTGGTAGGGAGCTGAAA